TGAGCTACTTCCTGCTGCCAAAGGCACTGCTCCCTAATATGGGCCTGGAGGGCTGGCTGGGACCTTGGGCTAGGCATGTGCCCTGGCAGGATGCCAGGGCCTGATCCCATCAAGGCCAGGATGATCCCAGACCTGCCCTGGAGCAGGGCTGCTGGGAACTGGTAGTTCCAGGAAAGGCCTGGCTGGGGCTCTGATGGGAAGTGTGCAGGGTAGGGGTGGGCACTTGCCAACTCTGGGGCCACCGGCCCCTCCCTCTCCTACAAAAGCTGTCATCTCCAGGACCTGTGGAGAGGTGGCTGAGGGCCTGGGACTCCATGGCATGGGGGTGGGGGCACAGAGACTGAAGGCCAGAAAGGGGGTGGAGGCCAGTGAAGACCCCGGTAATCTGTAGCCCCCCCTTCTGGTCTTGTGGCCTCAGGACTGACTCTGGGGTGAGACTGGGATGGAGCTGGGGGTTAGCGCTGGGGCACTGGAGTGGGGAGGGGTGTCACAGCACCTCCTGCCCGCCCCCCCGAACCACAGCACCAAGGTTGGCATCCTCCAGCACCCAGGAAAGACAGAGGACTGCTCAAAGCCCAGCACCAAGGCCACGGGGCTCCAGAGCCGGGGTTCTGATGGTGCTGCTGCACTGCGCCTCACCTCCCCCACCCACCCGGCAGCACTGAGGCTCTTCCTTCTGCAGCCGAAGCCACCTGCCTGGCCTACCTGCCCTGGCTTCACCTGGAGCTCAGCTTCCCTCTCACCTAGCCCAGCCCAGCCCAGCCGAGTCCGAGTCTTGAGTCCTGGTCCCTCACCAAGTCCGATTCTCCCTGCAGGGCTCCCCGCCGGCCCGCCTGACATCCCCCCAGTGCTGGCAGCTGCTCTGCCTGCAGTGTGACAGGGAATCTGTTGGGACGGAGGCCAGCTCCATCTGGTGGGAGGAGGAGCTGTCCTGGGTGGGCGGGCAGGGCCGGCTGGGAGACACAGGTGTCTGGAAGGACCCAGCCGATGATGCCTAGAGCTCAAGGCCGGACACTGAGGGCACAGTCCTGCCACCTCATCTGGAGCAGGGCAGGCCCAGCAGGGCAGGTGATAAACTCGAGCAGAATGGCCAGGGAGGGAGACGGCAGGGCCGGCCAGCCCATAAAGATGACAGCAATCCAGGACCCCCTTGGGTCGTTTTCTCTGTGCCTGACAGACATCCCCCACATGGCCCCTTAGACCACATCCAGGCTGGGCCCACTTCCCAAGGACATCGCCAAGTCTCTGTCCACCCTCGGAGCACCTGCTGCATACCCACACTGCACCCCAGACTCCCATGGGGGCCAGGCGGGTGCTGTGCCTGCCTCTTGATGCTGGGAACCTTCTCTCGAGCCTGGTTCCTCACCAGAGGCAGCCATTAAAGACCATCTGCCCCACTCCATCATTTTACACACGGGGAAACTGAGTCTCACAGAACAAACGGGCAGCAGCACCTGGCCTCCTGCTCCCAGATGTAATCATCCACCCTCTTCTCTGGCCTCAGGACAGGCTGAGACTGGCCAGGACCCAGAAGAAAGGGCTCTGTCCTGCTAGGAGGGCTCACCCAAGACAGTGACCATCACTGCTCAGGGTCCCCTGGAGTCTGGCTCTGGGCACAGGGTGAGGAGCAGGTCTGCCTGTCTTCAAGGGCCGAGGGGTTGGGGGGAGGATGGGGGACCAGGACCCTGGGCGACCTCCCCTCAGGACTGTCCACTCAGCTGCTATCACTGGGTGGGTAGGAGCCACGTGCACAGGGAACGGCTGGCTCCAGGTCACCTGAATGCCCTCAGCTGACCCTCTCCTCCCAGGGATGGGCCAGCAGGGAAAGAGGAATGACCAGCCAGACATCACCAAGTGACCAGAACCCAGGACTCCCGCCCTCATCTGACAGCCACGTAGCCCACTTCTGGTGGGGAGGGGCTCTTCCTCGGAAGGGCAGCCCTGGAAACCCCTTACTGTGTGAGGAGACCTCGCTGGGCACCCCACACAGGAGGGATGGAAACTTCCTCCCCAGGCAGGGGTGAGGGAAGGGGCTGGGGGCGGGGTGGAAGTCCCTGCACTGCCTCCAGCCTCCCTGCCACTCCCTCCACCTGGGAGATGCTCACGACCCCCATCCAGCCACGGCCACTCCCCCCACCTTCTCGCCAGGTCAAGGACAGATGGGGACGGACGCTGCTGCCTGGGCACCTGCTGGTTGTTAGGGAAAGCGAGGCCCACCCTGAGGGGCGCCAGTGTTCCCCCCGGTGGTCGGGGAGAGCGTTTGCCGGTCCTGGGGAAGTTGGATGGTCCCCTGGGAATGGGGAATCCTGGAGGGTGTGGGAGTCTGAGGGGGAACTTGGGGAGTCTTCACGGGGCTGGCGCTGGTGAGACCGGGGCCTCCGTGTAGGGAGGGCGCAGCGGACGGTGCCTGGGGGCGCATCCGCCACCGTCGAACTCGAAGGTCCGCTTGGTACAGACCCCGCAGCGCGTCTCCCGGTAGACGCCCTCTGGGCTTTGCGCCCCGTTGGAGTGGCACGCTCCCGGCAGCTCGGACCCGACCCGAGGGGGAAGCGAGGGAAGCCGCCACCTTCCCCTCGCAGATGAGCGCGGGGGTGCTGGTGATGCCGGTTCCAGGCTCGGTTCTGGCTTCTGCTCGCGGGGACCCGCGGCGGCTCTGGGCAGGGCTGGGACGGGGCGGGGACTGCAGGGACTCTCCCCCACCGCGGTCCCCGGAGCCCTCCAAACTCCGGCGAAGAGGACGGGGTTCGTTAATGGCTGGAAAACCCGCAGAGCAGTGCGGCCGCCTGGCTCTGACCTCTGACCGTCAGCACCTCCCCCCCTCCCCGCCCCCGTGCTGCTCCGCCCTGGTCGACACCCCTCACCCCGCCCCCACAGGCTGTGGCTTCCCTCGGTGGGCACCACACCTTGGGCTTGGCTGGGGAGGGGTGACTGCACCCCTCCCTGTGCTCTCCCCCGCACGGGCGCACAGAGCCCCTTTAGACGGGTGAGAAAGGGCCCCAACTTCAGATGCTGTAGCCCAACGACAGGGAAGCAGGGGGTCCCCCTGTGGGCCCCCTTTCCGCGCACGTGCTCACAATGTGGCACAGGCGTCACCCTGGCTCAGACGGCCTCTGGGGAGCTGCGATTTCTATCCTCAGAGCTTTGTTGGTCTGCAGCACAGACCAGGCCCCTCACTAAGCCAGAACTGTGGCCATGAGGGGCAGGGGGAGGCCAGGTCCCTTTGTAGGGTGCATGGCGCGGACTGCGCCGTCCCTGGCCTCCCAGTGTCTCTCCGGAGGGTCCTTCCGTTTCTCCAGGAGGCAGCAAGAGGAACACGGATGGTTTGGGGTGGGAGAGGACACTCAGGGAGGTCCCCGGAAGAGGTTCAGCCTGTGCCACCACCACCCAGCTCTCCGGCATCTTGGGGGTTTTTCCTCAGTTCCCGAGAGAGGCGGGGCTGCAGCGGGTCCCACCACCCCTGGGCGGGTGCCGCCGGGGCCAGAAGTGGCCTTTCTGCCAGTGCCCTCCTGCCTAGGGAACTCAGGAACACCGCCACTGAGAGGACGTGCCGCCCGCATCTGTGATTGTTTAGCAGTAATTACACGTGTTCTCTGCAGCAGGAGAGTCGAAGGTTCGATCACATTCGACGGCTTTACGGAATCAAAAACTTGGCCCCACTCTGCCACTGAGGAGCCCCAGATCGCCAGCCCGTCCACCTTCCCCAATCAGGAGCAGACCCGGAGAGGGCCCAGCTCCCTGAGGGTTTTGCCTCCTCTCCAGCCCGGACCCCTCCATGTCTGACCTGCAGCCGTGGCCGGGCTGAGTAGGGATGGACAGACCCCCCTTACGTCACCCGTAACCTGCCTCTGCTCGGGCCCTGGTGCTGCTCCCAACACCCTTCACCCAACCTTGGATCCAAATCCAGAGGATGCCAGCCTGAGGCCCAGACCCTGCCTTCTCCACAGGAGACTGGGGCACCCCAGGCAGACGCCCCCTCTGTGGTGGCACCTGCCCGCGCTCCATCTTGCCGCCCCTTCAGGAGCAGAGGCCCTGCGGCCCACCCACCTCTTCCAGCTACCGGCCCAGCCAGGGACGTCCTCCGAACTGCAGGCTAGCCGCACACCCCGCCCGCGTCCCCTCTGCTTCCCTGAGGAGCCCCCACCTCTGTGAAAGAGTAAAGGAGGCCTCTCCATCTCCCCCTTCCCTCCATCATCCCCCGGCAAGCATTTATCGGGTGACTCAAGCCTGGCGCAGGGCGGCTCCCTGAGTTCAGTGGGGAGATGAGCAGAGATCCAGTGCCGGAGCTTTCTTAATTTGGAGGGACCCCGCGACCCCCGAGAAACCTGAGAGTGAGGGGGTGGAGCTGGGGCCGCCTGGGCAGGGCCGGGGGAAAGGGACAGACGGCTCTGAGCATGCCCCCCAGAGCTGAGCTGGAGGAAGGGCGCAAGCCATAGTGGCCTGGGGTGGGGACAGGATGCCCCTGGCTCTGGGAGACCCAGCACGGTGGATGGTGACAGTACTCTGAGGCGCAACACCCCGCAAGGGGACTAGATTTGGGGGCAGGGCAAGCGTGGGCCACCTGGGGGGCAGGCAGGTGTCCCTGGGTCCCTCAGGCCAGACCGCCCACTCCCACCAGGCGCTGGGCTCCTAAGGGCAGGACCGGTGTCGCCAAAGTCCCAGGGTCACCCGAGATGCCGGGGAAAGTAAGGACGGAGGCAGGGCTACCTGGGCTGGGGCCTTTCCCCCGGCGTTCCACGGGGCTTGGTGGGGGCGGACCTTCCGAGTCGCTTTCCAGCAACTTCTGTGCAAGAACACGGGTCACATGGGACTGTGGCTGGATGCGAGGGGAGGGCCAGAGCGCATGCGCTGAGGAGTGGGGGCGGAGCGCGAGTGGGGGAGTGGGGGCAGGCTGGGTGGAAAGCACGTGGCAGGTGGGCAGAGCACACGTGAGGGGGCGGGGCTGGGGCGGGGCTGGCGGGCGGAAGGAGCATGCACTGGGGTCTCTCTGCAGCTGCAAGGTCATGGCGTCCTGGTGCTCCGAACCCGACCCGGAGGTCTCTGGAGTCCCCACTGTTGGGGGATGCAAGTGAGGAATTAGGCTGGGGGCCAAGGGTGTGGGGGCTCAAGGCCCGTACCCAGGAGTGGTTCAGCAAGTCCGCGGTCTTCACCCCTCCTGGCCCCCCTGAGGCGAAACCCTGGACCCTGGGGGAGGGGAAGCGGTGCAGAGAGGGCTGGGCCGTGTCCCTGCGTGACCCAGGTCTTGGCCTCCACCCGCACCCCAAAGATGCCCACTGCGGCATCTGGGGCTCCTGGTGGCGTTTTCTGGGGTTCTCAGAGCCCGGTGCTCTTGGCTCTCTCGGCAGCGGCTCTTCCCTGCCTGGTGCCCTCTCTTGCTGCGAGGACTTGGCCCAGGGCTCTGGCCCGCCCAAGGCCCCTCTGGTGACTGAGGGTCCCAGCTCCTGCCTACCGCGGAACGTGATCAGCGAGAGGGAGCGCAGGTGAGTGGCCGGTGCCTCCCCCGGTCAGGGTGCTGTGAACAGGCGGGCGGAGCCGGTGAGATTAGTTTTGTGGCTGCCACCAGGTGTCAGGCAGCTGGGAGGGGCTCGTGGCGTGTGCCCAGTGGAAGGATGGGCTGCACATCTCCAAGTCACCCAGAAAAGCTGTGCTGGGGGACATCCCGCAGCCCTGCCTTGCTCTGGAGGCTGCGCCGCTGTGACCCTCCCTGTCCTCTCCACACTGCAAAGCAGCCATGGCTTGGGCCTGGGCTGGACGGCCCGTCGCTGGGGCCCAGGGGTCAGGCTCAGGCTCTGCTCTGATGTGGATCTGGGGGCTTCAGACCACGGGGGCGACCTCTCCGTGGTCCTGTCTCCAGGGCCCAGTGGTCTCTGCCTGACCAGCCCCCAGGGTCTCTCTGGTAGGTTCTGGTGCTTGCTGTCTATTCTGCTGGAGGCCAGAGGGCCCAGAGCTGTTTGTTTCTTGACTGGAAGCAGGAAGCGGATCTCCTTGAGCTGTGAGCGTCTGCGAGCCCTGCTGCCCCAGTTCGATGGCCGTCGGGAGGACATGGCCTCGGTCCTGGAGATGTCTGTGCAGTTCCTGCGGCTTGCCAGCGCCCTGGGGCCCGGCCAGGAGAGGCATGCTGTGAGTTGTAACGGTAGACGTGATCAGTCCTCTGGTGTGGTGAGCCGACATCTCACCACCCTGCTGGCAGCACGTCCCCGGCTGTCCCTGGCTCCCTTGGCCTCCACAGTGAGGGCAGGGCATGTTTTCAGCAGGGCACTTCCTCATTTGTTCAGGCCCTGCCTGTCGTTACTCTCTCTCCGGAAGGGAGCAAGCTTTCCAGCGTTCATGTGCCTGAGTCCTGTTCATTGATGGGCTGCCCTGATGCTTTGTGCCAGTTCTGGGGAGAGTCGGGGTCCCCCGATCCTCCCTGGCTGAGCACCCCCTAGATCATTTCTCTGCACATCCCCAAGAGAGGCTCCTGTGTCCTCTCCAAAGCCCTGGGGGCTCCGGCTGAACCCGGGAGTGCCAGGGCTGAGGACCCACTTGGGGAGTGAAGCTGTCTTGATATCTGTAAGATCAGGGTCCCAGCGTTTGTGGTGAGGCCCCTGGGTATTCATGGCCTAATTCAGGAATGGTGGGGTCTCTCAGAGGTGGGACCTCAGCCTTGTTTTCAGCCTGCACCCTTGCCCCCAGTCCCAAGCAGGGACCGAGCTCACAGCGACCCTCCAGGCCCCAGGGCGCCAGTCTGGCCACAGCCCCGCTTTCTCGTGTGCTTCCCAGTGGACTATCTCTGTTCTTGGCTTACGACTTTGTTTACATTTCGGCCTCTTGCTTCCTCCAAGCAGACGTGGCCCTCATTGCAGGAGAACGTTCTGCAGTTGACACTGTCGGGTCAGATTCCAGCAGGTGTGCCAGACACTGGGGCAGGAGCGTCCGGCAGGGCTCGGTGAGTGAGTGTCTCCTGGGGCCAGCTCTGCAGGGCTGGGTGACCCTGTGAGCAGCAGACCCAAAGCCCCCTGGCAAGTCCTCGGGTGGGTGCGGCCTAGGGCCTGGCATGGCCTCTGCAGCTGGTGACCTGCCCCAGGACCTGCCGACTCAGGTAGTCAGGTGAGAGGTGACCAACGTGGGTCAGCTCTGGGAAGGGCAGCATGGTCAGTGGACTCGAGGGCCTGGGCTGGCGAGCAGGGGCTGCAACTTGTATTTAAATGTAGCCATTTTACCCCAAAGTGGGCTGGGGCGTGGGGCTGGTGGCTAATTAGCTGTGGAAGGATCTAGAACCAGGAGAGTTGGGCAGAGAGAAATCAGGGAGGCAGCTGTGGAGCTTGGCTGGCCCAGGGCCCCCAGGCAGAAGCTGGCTCAGTGGTAGGTGGTACCTTGGATGTCCTTGGGACAGGTCCAACCCTCTGCTCCTGGGGTGAGTAGGTGGGGGAAGCCTTCCCGGTGGCTTGGGGGGCAGACCCAGGATCTTCATCATGTTGCTCTTTTTAGAACCCCAGATTCAAAGGTGCTTCTGGAAAATCCTTGGTCCCGGGATCCGGCATCAGCCCACCCTGTGGGTCCAGAGCCCCTCCCCCACATCCTCGCATCTTCCAGGCAGTGGGACCCCCCGAGTTGCCTGGCCCTGGGCACGGATGAGTGTGAGGCGCTGCCAGGGCTGTGCCAGGTGCAGGGGGGGCCGCCCACCTTCCCAGGTGAGTCCTGGGTGTGCATCTGGGGCGCCCTGGGCCTGGGGAGCTGGGCCAGACTCTGCTTTACCCCTGAGAACAGCGGCACTGTTTTCAAAAGGGGGATTTGAAGTTCCCCCAGGGGCTTCTGTTAGTGAGAAACCCCCCTGTTGAAGGCTGGCCTCGAAGGGCCCTGGTTTTTGTGTGAAGGAGGAATGTGGTCTCCGGAGGGAGTAGGTGTGGCTCGAGGAGGGGAGAGTCCTAGCCAGAGTCCTCCTTTGGGCTGTTCCCTCCATCCTGCCTCCTGACCTCCCTGTGCTCCGGGGAAGGGAAGGACTGAGCGGGTCCATTTCCTCACCTGCCTCTGTGCCCCAAGGATGGGGCCTCCCACAGCTCCTCTTCCCTGGGTCCCCGGGTCTGCGGGAAGCGTGGGGACCTAGAGGGCCTCAGCCTGTCCTGGCCACTCTGTCCAGCTTTGCAGCCCTGCTTCCTCCTCCCGTCTGGCTGGCCTGTGTGCAGGATGCGCCCCGCTGTCTGTTTCCCTGGGGTGGTCCATCTGCCCCTCTGCCTATGCTGCTCGCCTGCGGCGGGAGCGGTAATTGGGGTGAGCCGGAGGCCTGTGGCCTCCCAGCTGTTCCCTCTGCCACACGGGGCCTTTGTCCCTGATGCCACCCACAGCTGAGCTCTGGTCCCTCTGCAGGTGGCCCCGCAGGGTGCCTCTCGTGACCAAGCTCCCCTTGGTCCCCGCTGTGCTTGTGCCTGGAAGTCGCCAGGTGCCATGAGGGGCAGGGCTGTGCCTTTCGGCTGCCCATTAGTGGGGCTGTGGCCAGGAGTAGTCATGTGGTTGGCGTGGCTGGTGGCAGTGCTGGGGTCATCAGGGCACTCCGGAAACCCACCAGCCAGGCATGTGGGCCTGGAGCAGGTCTGAGGGCAGAACTCAAGGTCCGGGAGGTGGTGCTGAGAGGGTCCCCCAATCCAAGACCCTTGCAGCTGGCCAAGCCAGCACCTCCTCTAGGAAACCCTCGGCCCCCAGGTATTAGGCACTCCCCCGTGGGCCTTTGGCTCCTCCCGTTTACCCGTCTGCCACCTGCTTGTCAGCTTCCTCCCTCGTGTCCATCCTGCAGGGTGCAGGCAGCAGGGCAGGTGCTCGGTCAGTGTGAGTGGACCCAGCCCGTGAGTCACAAGGTCTTCAGGGGAGGCCTGTGAGGCCAGGCAGGGAAGACTGACCTCCATCTTGACTTCTCTTCCAGAACCTTCCAGCCCAGTGCCGTGGCCCCCAGGCCTGAATCTTCCTAAGGCCGAGAGGCCACCCTTGTCCTGGCCTCCATTCTCACAGCAGCTGACCTCGCCTGTGATGAGCAGTGAGGCCCCTGGCTGGTCGGGCCAGGCTGGACCCCTGGCTGTGGAGGCTGCATCTCTGGGGGAGCCAGCCGACGAGGCCCCCATGCCTGTGCAGGACACCGGGTGAGTGCCCAGGTGGTGTGCACGCCTGTGTGTGCGTGAGCGAGCCGAGTATGTGTGTGTGTGTGCGCGCGCGCGCGCACGCGTGAGCCTGCCCCGCCACGCCGCCTCCTCCCAGCCCTGCCTGGGCCCCCTCTCTCGGCATCGGGAAGTTTCCGTACCTGCTTCCTCTGTGGCTGTGCGGGGGAGGCCGAGGCCCAGGTGGAAGCCCGGGGCAGGACCAACCAGCCTGGCTGTGGGGCTTTCTAATGTGTGTTCCTGGAAACACGTTTGTCGTCCTAATTGTCATTTGTTTTGGCTGATAGTAAAATGAGTTTGTGTTTCCTGAGCGCACACCAGCTGGGGTGTGGGAGGGGGAGGGGAGGGGGAGAGGACGCGACGAGCAGGCCTGCGGCTGGAGAGAAACGGGCAGAGATGCCCCGCAGGACGGACGGTGGGCCAGGACAGCCGCTGGCCAGTGTCCTCGGTGGCCATGGCTTCCGCACTTCTCCCCACTGTGCAGGGCCGAGCCCGCCAGGAGTGCGGCCCAGAGCTTTGCATTGGAAGCTGCCTTGGCAGGACTTGGGGCCCAGGTGCAAGGCCTGGGCCCACCTGTGGCCACTGAGGGAGGGCTCCTCACCTGCAGGTCTCTGCTGGGGTCTGATGTGGAGGATGGGACGTCCTTCCTGCTGACCGCCGCTGGTCCCAGCTGGTGGCCGGGTGAGTGGGGCCCTGGGTCCGGGGCTGGGTCTCCGCATCAGCACCTGCTGTGAGCTGGGGAGTTGGGACTCAGGCCCAGTGTGTGTGACATGGGGTCCCAGAGTCTGGGTCTGAGCCCCCATCTTCTCCTCTGTTGGGGCTTAGCTGTTGGGCCTCATTCGGCATTGAGTGTCACGGGTAACGTGTGAGTGTGTGAGTGAGCGTGATGTGTGAGCCGGCACGTGAGCTGGCAGTGTGTGGAGCCTGCGAGGTCCCTGGCCCAGCCTGTGTTGGCGGGCAAAGGCACGCAGCACTGTGATGTGGCATGTGTCCACCCCGTGTACGATTTTGTGTTGAGGTGCCCCTTCCTGGTTCTGGCCCAACAGGTGTCCTGGGTATGGGGCCGCCAGGTGTGAGCTCACCCACCTTATAGCCTCCACATGGGAGGGCAGGGCAGGGCAGCTGGGTTGAGGTGGGAGCCCTGCTCCTGTGACCCTACCTGCCTGCCTCTGGTCCCCACAGCACCTGCCTGCCCTGTTCATGTGTCCTGTTTGCCTCCAGGGTCCCGGGAGGGCGGAGGAGGCAGTGGCCCCGCGTGGGCCCCAGCTGAGAGTAGCCCACCGGATGAGGGAGAGCCAGGCTTCCTAGGGGACCCTGAGCCGGGCTCCCAGGAGCTCCAGGACAGCCCTCTGGAGCCGTGGGGCCTGGCCCTGAAGGACGAGGTGGACAGCCTCTTCCCCGACTTCTTCGCCTGCTAGCTGCCGGGCTGTGCAGACGGCGGTGGGGCTGGCGGATCTGGAGCGGTGTGTGTCCCTGCTGCGTGCTTGGGCATTTTATTTTGGGTTTGGGTTGCAGCTGCACCCTAATTTGAGCGAGGCTTGTAGGCTGTGATGAGAGGGTACTGAATATTAAAGAGGGAAAGCAGGTTTCCTGGAGGAAACAAAACCCGCGTGGCTTGTGTGTGATTAGTCCGATTCATCGGGCAGATTGCGCCGCCTCCGTTCAGAGTGCAGGCAGCTGCTGGGGATTTTGTTCTGTGAAGTTCTCAGCACCGTGAAATCCCGGAATAACCCGGCCCTGGTGCCGGGGGGTCGGGGTGCGCTGGATCCTGGTCTCTGGAGGCAATGCAGCCTCATGGTCTCGGCACCTGGAAGCGGCTTTGTGAGCTGCCTTTCCTGCTCTGTGCCGCTCAGAGCTGCAGGGAGTGCTTGTCCTCTCCTGGCCTGGGGGCTTCAAGGGAAGCGCTGGTCCCACCTCTGCCGCTGGTTACCTCTCCCTCACTGTTATGGGGAATGGGGGACCTGGGCAGAGGTCACCTGCCCTCAGTGTCTGGTTCTGCTGCCAGCCCTATCCTGTGAGACCTGGAGGGGGCTGGGTTACCCTGATGGAGGTGCCGAGCTCTGTATGGCACTTGGTGCCCACCTGTTTTTCAGCCACAGCACAGGTGGTGCCGGTCTCCAACCCCGGTGCTCAGGGGCTCACCCTGCTATCCCCATGTGGAGACACTGGCTCCAGGCCCCCTGTGACTGTTGGTGTGTGTGCATGTGTACTGGTGTGTGTGCACTGTTGGTGTGTGCAGTGGCAGTACGTGTGTGTGCACTGGTGTGTGCATGTGTGTATCAGTGTGTGTGTACTGTTGGTGTTTGCATGCATGTGCAGTTGGCAGTATGCGTGTGTGCACTGTATGGGTATGTGTGCATGTGTGTGCAGTTGTGTATGTGCATGTGTGTGCTATTGGGTGTATGTGTATACATTGTTGGTGTTTGCATGCATGTGCAGTTGGCAGTGTGCACCGTTGATATGTGTGCACTATTGTGTGTGTGTACACTGTTGGTGTTTGCATGTGTGTGTAGTTGGCAGTATGCGTGTGTGCACTGTATTGGTGTGTATGTGCATGTGTGTGCTGTTGGTGTGTATGCATTTGTGCTCCCATGTGTGTTGGCGTGCGTGCCTGTGTGTTCGCTGTTGCTGTGCGTATGTGTATTTGTGTACTTGATGTCTGCATGTATCTGCTGTTTGGTGTGTGCATACATGTGTTTGTACACCCATGTGTTGGTGCACGTGCCTGTGTGTGCACTGTGTTGGTGTGTGTACATGTGTGTGCACCCCATGTGCTGGTGTGCATATGTTCACAGTACGCATGTGTGTGCTCCCGTGTATTGGCATGCATGATGTTCACTGTTGGTGTATACATGCATGTACATCTCAAGTACAGGCCAGTGCCATCTCAAGAGGGTGGGATGTTGCCAGCCTCTGAGGTCCTGCTCAGCAACCCTACGTGTTTTCCCGCCCACCCCGTGCCCTTTGCCTCTAGGAACTGGGGTAGAGACAATGAGCTTGTCCCCTGATTCCATGATCAGCCTAGCAAGGAGGCAGCTGAGCTGTGGGTGACAGGCGGCTGGTGCTGCCCTGGGGCTGAGGCCGGCACCCAGCCCTGCTGCTGTGAGCTCTAGTCTACAAGGTGGGAGGGGTCTCCTTGGAGCAGAGGGATAGGCCTCACCTTGCTAGCTCCCCTAGACCCCCTCCACAACTGGGCTCCAAGGTCAGGGGCCTCACTGTGGACAGGTGCTGGCAGGTGAGGGACAGGGCCCCATCAGAGCAGACAACCCTCACCTCCTGCCTGGAGCCCATACTCAGAGTGACCCTGAGGCCCAGCCTGGCTTGTCAGGCGAGAACAGTGATTGATCAGCAGTGTGTGTCCCGGGAGTGGAAGGTGGAGGGGCTTGGAGCTACAGGGGTTCACCCCGCCCCAGCTTTTGGGGTCCTGTGGTGTGTCTTGTCATGGGGCTGTGGATAGTCCGCTTCTCTTGGTCCTTTTGCTGCATGCCGGGAGGGTCGGGGGCTTCAGGCACTTCCCCAGGCTGGCTGTGTCTGTTCCTTTGGGCAGTGATGGTGGCAACCCAGGGGACCTGGAGGGTGGGGTGTCTGGGCTGTCACGAAGCCGTCTTGTCTCCCCAGGTGGCTGCCAGGGCCTGGGGGCAGCTTGGCTGTGGTTGCTCCTGGGGCTAAAGGAGCTGCTGGGGGTAGGGAGGAGCCATTCCGTGAGCAGGTGTGTCTCCCACCCCCATCTCCCCGTACCCCCCCGGATCCTGGGGCCGTCTCTCTGGACCAATTTATCACTCTTGTTGGCCATGACGCAGCCCCAGTTCAGAGGTGGGTCTGGAAAACCAGGGGCAGCTGCTCTCCCTGCAGTTCTGGCTGGCGAGGGTGGGCTTGTGTGTGGCAGCCAGGTGGGGTCTGCAGCTAAGCTCCCACTCCCCGCCTCATCACTGAGACAACAAATCTCTCAGCAGAGCGATTTTTGTACTTCCTGGAATGCAGGAAGGGTACTCTTACTAGCCATCTTGCCCCAAGGCCAGCTTTCTACACCAGTGGGCCTGCCAAGTGGGCAGCTTCTCGTGTGTTCCCGCTGCAGCCCAACAGGCTGGGCCCAGATCCAAACGGGCTGGAAGCTGGTGGCCGTGGGAATGCCAGGTGCCTCCCACCCCTCCCATCCCAATGGAGCTGCTCCTTCCCCAAGCCTGGCACCCTGACAGGGGGCACTAAAGCTCTGCCCAGCCTCGCCCTACAGCCTGGAGCTCCCGACAGAGGTGGGGTGGGGTTGGCATCAGGACCCTCATCCTGAGGTGGCTCCGCATGGCTCCTTTATAAGCAGGCACTGGCTCTGGGGACCGGTTCTTCCTCAGCATCCGGGACTGTGACCCGCAGGATGACCCCCTTCCAGAGCTCACACAGATGCCGCCCAGTGCATGCCCCCAGTGCAGATATTTCTGGGTCTTGGGCTGCAAAATGTTCTCCCCTGGGGAGGGGCAGGGCCAGGGCTCCTCAGACAGAGCTGCGTATTTGCTGAACGTGCAGGGTCTCGTTCCCACCGCTGGGGTCACAGTGCAGGACATTGCACCATCGGCGGGACCCCTGCTGCTGCCCCTTTCCGGCCACACTCCTGCTTCCCATTTGTGACCTTCAGAAATCACCCACTTGTGTCCCCTCTGTGGTTTTATGATTTTGAGAGCACCCTTTCATTTTCACATCTAACAGATGCCCAACCACCAATCGCTGTCAGCCCACAAAATCACCACGGATGGGCTGGTACCTCCCTTTTATTCACCAAAACATGGAGGGGGCTGCGGGCACCTGCCTCAGCTGTGACCCTGTCAATCATCCTCCCCCAAAGGCAGTGGCTGAGCTCAGGGAGGGGCAGGGAGGGGAGGGAAGGGAAGGGGGAGGGCCTTGGTTGCTGTCACCTGCATCTTGGGGCCACCACGCACCACAGGTGCACCTGCTGCTTTAACCTCAGGAACCCTCATGCAGAAATGCAGAGGCGCCTTTAGGGCTGTGTCTCTGGGAGGCTCAGGCTCTGGGAAGGGAAGGGGGCCCTGGAGTTTTTTGTTGGGCCGGGACTATTCCTGAGAAGGGGGGGGCAGCTCGGAGAAGGAGCCTTGGTGGCCTGAGTGGTGTCCCTAAAAGGATATGCTCGTCTCCTAGTGGCTGGGCCTGTGAAGGGCGTCTGATGGGAAAGGGTCTTTGCAGGTGTGGTGCTAAGGATCTTGGCAGGAGATCATTCTGGTTGAAGACGGGCCTAAATCCAATGACAGGTGTCCTTAGAAGAGACAGAAGAAGAGACACAGACAGGGGCAGAGCCTGGGGTGACACTGCCACAAGCCAGGGACACCTGGAGCCCCCACAGCTGGAAGAGGCAGGAAGGACCCTCCCGGACCCTGTGGAGGGAGCGCAGCCTTGGATTGCAGACCTCGGGCTCCAGGCTGTGAGAAAGTAAATCCTGGTTATCTGAGTCACCCACTTGTGGTGACAGCAGTCCCTGGAGACTCCTACAGGCCTCATCACACTTTCTGCTCAGACCCTACCGACCTGGAAGGCCCCATCACTGCCCTGACTCCAGTGATGCTTTTCACGGCCCCTTTCACCAAGCACCTTGTGTTCTGTTCCCAGACCAGGGGAGAGGTGGGCACCGGTGGCCCTCCTGGGCTGGGACCCCCAGCCTCTGACATTGGCCCCAAGCTCTCCCCATCCAGCCCCCTCCCCGACCTAAGCCACAGCTCACACGTGGTCCTCCTGGGCTGGGTCCTCAGTCTCTGACGTTGGCCCCAAGCTCTCCCTGTCCAGCCCCCTCCCCGACCCGGGCCGCAGCTCACACATGGTCCTCCTGGGCCTCCTGGGCGGGCTCCTCTAGCGCTTGGAGTAGCAGGGATCTGGGAGGACAGAGAAGGCTCTCAGTGCAGGGACAGGGACCAGGTGGGAACACCCCATCCCCAGCCCATCCCGCCTCCCTCTTGGTCTGGGAGCCACGGCACTGACCTTCGTTGGTCAAGTCGACGATATTTTGTGAGCCGAGTCCATACTTTCTGCAGGTTTCTTCAAATCTGCTCAGGAAGGAGGGTTCCAGCTGTGGGACCCGTGCTGGGAAAAGAGTTGGCTCTGTGTGAAGGGTGGGCCTGGCTGGGGGTGCGCAGGCAGTGCTGAGGCTGGGCAGGGGGTCACGCCCTGACCAGAGGGGCTTTGTGCTGAGTGAGATGGGACGTGAAAGACTGCAGCGCCCAGCACCCTAACCGTGTGTCTGTGGCCAGGAATGGCAAATGGGAACCACCTCTCCAAATCCCAGGGCCACAGTGAGACCCTCCACCAGGGTTGGCCAGATTCCGAGGGGGTCGGAGGGGTCAGCAGAAGTACCATAGAGTGCCAGCACATTGGTCTCGCTCCCGTTCCTGAAGTTCTGGAGGTGGAAGGTGATGAACACGTT